TAGATAGATAGATAGATAGATAGATAGATATAGATTCTCTTTATAAGAAAGAGGGTAAAATGATCCTTGTTGATGCAATATGGGCTTCTTTTTAATTTCTTAAGACCTTATTGTTACCAGCAACATAAGTGTGTTAAATTCCATTGAATTGGATTGTCTGCTCTTGTACTAGCAGTGAAATCTGGGTTTAAATACATACAATTATATGGCAGACATACACATCCTACTCACTGCTACAATTACATATGACACAAATATCCAGAGAGTTTGATGCCATAGATTCCAGTGGGAAAAATTTAAGCACCCACATTGATCAATATGACTTAAAATAGGTTTAATTTTGTATGAATTAATGAAAAGAGAGTTAAGCTACTTATTATGTATTCCATGTACATTCCATATACATGGAATATTTGTCCCCAGTCTAGTGTTTTCCATTGTGTTGGGACAACTCCCAGAATTCTCAGCCAGCATGGCTCTTTTCAACCCAATTTCATCTGCAAGGGCACGTTGACAAACCAGAGCAAGATACTAAGACAGGCTGCAGCTAGCCAGGACTACTGAGAGTCTGATAAATCTAGCCCAGTGTTTCTAACTTTGGTGCCTCTCAATGTGTTAAGCTACACTGCCAAGGAATTCTGAGAGATAGAATTCAATTCATTTGGGGATGTCAGCGTGGAGAAAGATGAACTAAATAAAATACAAATCAGCAGCAATGATTTGGAGTAGATACTACCAAAGCAATAGTCTATAGAAGTCCTAGGGAGAAGTGGGTATCTAAAACTGTATTTCCCAAAAGAAGAGCTGGGCACCTGATTCAAAGTTGCATGGTCTTGGAAGTCTGAGAAAATAATGAAAACATATAATGTAATGAATTGTCCACCCCTTGAACTCAACAGGCCTGTTTGCAGAGTACAGTATTAATGATAATTGTGTTATTTATGGAGACAGCCTCAGAGCAATTCTCAGTTTCATACAATGGGTCTGATTAAGGTGTGCGATCCAAAGAGAAAGGAGAGAGGAAGACTGAACTGAAATTGTTCCTTTTGTTCCTTTCATTCGGGAAGCTATTGTTTCTAAATGAGGGATATTATGTATTTCCAATTAAGTTTTTGGATGACAGTACTTTTTAGTTCCAGCAACTTTTACTCCATCTTTCCAGCATTCTCATTGAAGTGCTATTCTATGGTGGAAGATTCAAATTTCAATCTTTTTCTTTCCATTATGCTGAAAATAAAATCAACATCCTATTCTATATGTCATAATTTTCTTCCTTTAAAAATCAAGTCTAATTTGGTATTCAAAATCCAGTCAACACATTGATAGATCGGTGGTCACAGATAACAATGAAAATTCTGCAAAACAGAACTTTTCAAATTTATATAGTAGTTTCCTTTTGTTAGGGATCTGCATTTTG